CATCAGCAGGACCGGATGGGGCCGGGGAGAGGACCCAGCGCCGTCAGTCATCACCAGGACCGGATCGGGCCGGGGAGAGGACCCAGCGCCGTCAGGCATCAGCGGGACCGGATCGGGCCGGGGAGAGGACCCAGCGCCGTCAGGCATCAGCAGGACCGGATCGGGCCAGGGAAGAGGAACCAGCGCCGTCAGGCATCAGCAGGACCGGATCGGGCCGGGGAGAGGACCCAGCGCCGTCAGGTATCAGCAGGACCGGATGGGGCCGGGGAGAGGACCCAGCACTCTGCTGCTCACTCCTGGGACAGACAGACAGACGTGCGCTTCGACCCACTGGAGTTAAACATCTGAGCTAGATTTCAGTCCATGAAGAGCAATGCTCCCTTCAGTGCAACTTATGCACCGATAGACATTAACAGTTTATAACTAACAGCGGGTTGCACTGTTGCCTCTAGTCTGCAGGGGTGGTGGTTTGAATCCCACCCCTGCCCTGTTTGTGTAGAGCGTGAATGCTCCCCCAATGTTGTGCAGGTTTCTTTTAGGTCCTCCGATATCTTCCAGCTGTCTAAAGATGTGCAGTTGAACTAAAATAATCAGTAGTTTGTGAGTGCGTGCACATGTGTTTCCGGCGACGGACTGGGATCCCATCTGGGGTGTTTGCTTGTGCCCTGCGATAGACTCCCCATGACTGTGTACTGGATAAGCAGCTAAAAGATGTGCGGTTTATATTTGACTTTCTTTAGTTAAATATGGTTGTTTTTCAGCCATAACATCTTTTAAGAAACATTTTGTAAATCCAGCATGTCCCTCTAGTGGTGTATGTGAGAACAGCATGCAGTGATGCTGTAAGAATCCAAAGCAGGTCAGTACCCAAAGTGGGACTAGAGCAATTCCCTAGGCTAGTACTCGGCGAAGCAAATCCAGGGAGTATTACCTGAACCTCCCCCATTGGACGTCCACAGTCTTAGTCACAGTAAGCAGGTTACATTCGTCATTGTCAATAAATAGCAGGAGAATCCATTCTTCTACATAAGTATTCATAAATTACAAGCCTTCTGGCAACCTGATTACAATTTCTGTGGAGTGACAGTGGTGAAGAGAACTTAGTGTAATTGTGATATGAGCACCATGCATGATTTACTCGCTGTTGAGGTGCCACAGGACCTGATTCTGGTCCCCCGATTCTTGAATTGTCTTCCTCTCTTTCTGTGTCTGCCCCCTACAGGACAACGTGCTGAACATCATCAACCAGATCATGGACGAATGTATACCTGGCGACCGAGCCAACCGGGACTTCTCTGTGAAGTTCCCAGAGGAGATCCGACACGACAACCTAGCAGGCCAGCTGTGGTTTGGAGCTGAGGTGTGGCTTAAAGATGATCTCAAATTGTGTATGGAATTTGAATCCACATCCCTGGAGATGTGAGACCATAGTGCTCTATTATATATTCATAACCTATGTCACGTCTTTATGACCCTGTGTGACCTCACCTTGACCCCCTGTGTGACCTCACCTTGACCCCCTGTGTGACCTCACCGTGACCCTTCTTTCCCAGTGCCTGGCCGCAGGCTCCATCATCATGAACCGTGAGGTGGAGAGTGTGGCCATGCGGCCCCTGGCCCGGGAGCTGACGCGCAGCCTGGAAGAGGTGCGGGCGCTGACCCGGGACCAGGCTCTGCGTGACCTGGACCGCTACAGCGAGCGCATGTGTCACGCCCTGCGCCATTTCGACAGCCTCTTTGCCCAGTTCGAGCTCAGGTAGGCCTTGGGGGCGGAGCTGTGTGTGGGGAGGTGGGGCAAAGGGGTGGGGCGGTAGGTGGAGTTTGTCACAGGGGGTGACTGACTGACATTTGTTCCTCCCCCACATTCAGCTACGTGTCAGCCATGGTCCCTGTTAAATCCCCCAAAGAGTACTACGTCCAGCAGGAGGTGATAGTGCTGTTCTGTGAGACGGTAGAAAGGTGAGAGTGGGACGCCCGGTGATGACATCATCACTCAGTGACAGCGGAATGTTTCATGCTGGCATGTTTCAAATAAGCGGTGCAACACTGTCATATTTCCGGGTGTGTTTGTGCAGAGCCCTGAAGCTGGGTTACCTCACGCAGGACATGATCGATGACTATGAGCCTGCCCTGATGTTCACCATCCCCCGACTCGCCATCGTGTGGTGAGTGATGGAGTGACCAAGGAAAGACAGACACTAAATCCTTAACTATTAATCAGCTTCCATCGCTGAACCTCCTTCATAAGGTGCTGCAATAGTCACCCCTGTCTCACTGACATCCCTGCTTCCTGCCATGACAAACAACGGGCAGATGGGCCGGCCCAGAATTTTGGTACATGACCCTAAGCATCATGGAAATTCAAGCCCTTAAATATCTCAGGAACCACTTCTGTGCAGAAGCTACTGCTTTCAATATGATTTTTAAAAATTTGTTTGGTCGTTCCCTATTTGTTCGTTAGTTAGTAGTGGTTTGGTTAAAGATGCACACGTGACGTAATCAATGGCTGCACCAAAACCGGCTGTTTTACAGTGGACTGGTGGTCTACTCTGATGGACCCCTCAACCTGGAGCAGAAACCAGAGGACATGTCTGAGCTCTTCAGGCCCTTCTGCACCTTGCTGAAGAAGATCCGGTATGTTTGATGATGAGACTCTTCTCTCTTTTCCATAGGTACAAGTATCAGTACAGACACACTGGTTTTACAAGGTTTGATGAAGCTTGGTTTAATTTAATAGGTTTGATGAAGCTTGGTTCAATTTAATAGGTTTGATGAAGCTTGGTTCAATTTAATAGGTTTGATTAAGCTTGGTTCAATTTAATAGGTTTGATGAAGCTTGGTTCAATTTAATAGGTTTGATTAAGCTTGGTTCAATTTAATAGGTTTGATGAAGCTTGGTTCAATTTAATAGGTTTGATGAAGCTTGGTTTAATTTAATTGGTTTAATGAAGCTTGGGGTCAGAGTGCAGGGCAACACTGGAGCAGTCTTGAGGGTAAAGGGCCTTGCTTAAGGGCTCAGTAGCGATTTGATGCCGGCCATGGGATTTGAACTAGCAACCTTCCGGTCATGGGCACTAACTTGCAGAGGCACCCAGAGAGACTTTTGCGTGGATGGGTGTAAGTGTGTGACGGCCCATTCTCCGTCCCTTACAGTGACCTGCTGTGGACCCTGACGGAGGAGGAACTTCTGACCCTGGAGAGGAGCCTCTGTATCTCCCAGGATGGCGAGTTCCCTTCGGAGGACCCCACTCAGCCTTCACAGGACACGCAACAGGAAGCCCAGGAACAGGAAGGCGGGGGCGAGGAGGAGGATGGCAGCACTGAGCCAGGGGCGGAGCTGGAGGCGGAGCTAGCCGGATCTTTACAGTACGACGAGCTGGAACTCGAGCAGCTGAACATGATGGTGCACCGGGTGGGTGACGAGATGTCCAGCCTCCTGTCCCCACCCAGCCAAGCCCAGTCCCCCGCCCGCTGGAGTGGGACCGGGGCCAGCTCCGGTGCACAGCTGCCCTCGCGGCGTCACCAGGCCAGACCGGCTCAGGAGGAAGAGCGGGTCTTCTTAATGGAGGATGTGGAGGGCTCCCAGGGAGGGCAGGCGAAGAGAGGCTCCATTGCCAGTGCAGCTGGGGAGGAAGGTCCTGAGCTCCCTCTACAGGCCAGTGGCGGAACTACTGCGGAGCGGGATGTGGAGGTGGCACAGAAAATCGCCCACAGAACAGGAGGCATGAAGCTTTCGGCTACGGTCATCTTTAACCCCCCATGGCCTGAGCCATCGGACCCGCCCCCACCCTCAGACCCCTGCCACCCCCTGCTGGCCACACACTGCCTGCTGAACTCTTGCGTTTGCTGCACCATCTGTGAGGAAGAGCCCGCAGACCAGCTCAGGCCTGTAGCATCTGCCCCCGTTGTCCAGGCAACGGAACTGCTATCCAATGGGAGCATTCCATCAAGAAAAGTGGTACTGCCACTTGAAGAGGGCCCCCAGCCTGGGGACGAAGTGATGTTCCTGGTTCCCCAAAACTGTCAGCATGCAGACTGTTTGCAGGGACAGCCTCCAGCCACCAGGGGGCACAACAGCAGTACAGAGCCTGGAGCAGACAGGGCGCTCACGCAGGATGGGATTGTGGATGCCACGAGCAACATGTGTGTGTTAGCATGTGTCAGTCTGTATCTATCTCGTCTTGTTATATCTTATCTAATCTTATCTGAGGCATGTGACTCTATACAAACCAGCTAAATTTACTACACTCCCTTGCTCTGTAACTGAAACAGTGGAAGCCTCGCTTTCCACGTGGTTACTGGCTGGCCGTATCACATGACCATGTCACATGACCTGGTTTGTTAATTACATGGCTCTCAGCTCAGTAACCACTTGCAGTATCTTATACTCCCAGATAAGTCCATGGGGAAACACACCCATGTTTGGTATTTGGTGTCTTCATTGCTTGATAGTTTGATTCAGGTGAGCTGGAAGGGAGCAGAGATGTGGACAGTCTGGGGGGGTCCCTGGGGACTGGGTCGAGAAACTCTGCTGCAGTACATCCGTACGCCCTCCCCCCCCCCCCCCCCCACTCCAAATAATCCTTGACAGTCCCTCTCCTGTGGTGCTGAAATCTTCCCCCGCTGCACCTGCGAAGGACGTTGTGCCATTATGTCGGGCTGATGTCACTGACGGCGTGACAGACAGTGTGAGGTGCATCGTGACACTGTGACGGGATGGCAGACAGTGTGAATGGTGTGATGGTGTGTGCTCTTCTCTCCCTCACTGGCTCCTCTCCCCGTCCGTTCCAGTGCCCCCGACGAGGTGGAGAAGCGGGAGGTCCAGCTGGCCCTGCAGGCTGCCAAGACGTCCGCCCACAGCAAGATCCGCACGCGCTTCCACAGCAGCGGTGACCTCGTCCACCGCCTCTTCGTCTGCATTTCGGGTCGGTCCCTGACCTCGGCATCTGCTTTCTCTGCTTTCCAAAGAAATGAAACCGCCGGCTAACCGCGACTAGCATCCACCATTCTTCGCGACCCTTGTTGCCATGGTTGCTGCTGCCCCAGTAGCTTCTGGCCTCTCATTGCTGCTCCAAACTCGTCCAGGTGTCGCCGATCAGCTCCAGACTAACTACGCCAGCGACCTTCGCTGCATTTTGAAGACGCTGTTCGAGGTCATGGCGAGCAAGCTGGAACTGGAGAGCAACAACAAGCCGAAGAACGGTACACGGTTCGCCTTGAGACGTGCTTTGACTTGATGTTTATCATCCATGGTGAAAACAGCATCAGTCAATGTGTCTATCTGTATATACATACACATTCTCTATAGTATAGCCAATTGGTCTATTGGTATAAATACCACTACAGTAACGAGGGTTTAGTGGTGAAGTCAGTGCATTAGCCAGTGCACTGATTAGCACACTGCTCTCAAAAAAAGCAGTGTTCTTTGCACTGATTGGTGCAATGCACTCACCAGGGCAGTATCCAGGGTACTGGTTGGTGCGGTGCTCGCAGCAAAGCAGTATCCAGCACAGTGATTGGTGGTCCTCCTCCAGCAGGCCCAGGCCTGCTCAATGCAGTGCTGGAAGACTGCTCACTCTGTCAGGAGACCATCACCTCCTCCGAGCTGGCAGCCAAGGCGCGGGACGGTCAGTTTGAAGGTCAGCTCTCTTCTATCCTCCCTTTCTCCCAGGCCAGAACACACTGATTACGTCATGCTTCATTATGCTGAAATCATTTCTGTGCAATATGCCTTGAAGTAATTTAGATATAAGGGTGAGTTGAAATAATAAATGTATGATAAAAAGCAGACCTGATCTGGTAAGGGGAATAAATGGAGACGAGGAAGGCAGCACAGGAAGGCGGACGGTGCCTCACAAGCAAGGGTCTTACTGTGACGCTCGGTGCACATGCAGTAAAGGGTTTCTCTCTCCTCCCAGACCCCCCAGACTGGGTACCAGATGAAGTCTGCAGCCACTGCACTGCCTGCAAGGCCCCGTTCACCGTCATCCGGAGGAAGCACCACTGCAGGAGCTGTGGAAAGGTACCACCCATGCCCCACCTACCAGTACTGGCCACGCCCACTCACAGAGGAGGCTCCGCCCACTGCTCATGCCACCAATTGCAACCCACACTCTACCCACTGTCCCCACATGCCAGCCGCCACCACCCCTGGTAACATCAAAGTGCATGACTCTCTGTGTCATTTCAGATCTTCTGCTCACGCTGTTCCTCCCACTCAGCCCCGCTGCCCCGGTATGGTCAGGTGAAGCCTGTACGGGTCTGCACCCACTGCTACATGTTCCACGTCACTCCTTTCTACAGTGACGGGACGGGCATCTGACCCTGTCGGCGCCCACCCCGGCCAGCAGGGGGCGTCGGCAAGCACAGCAAAGAAGTCCCGCTGGACAGGACACACGCCCCATCGCTGACGTCGACTCGCACCCGAATGTGCATGAACATTATCCGATTCTGCTACAGTCAGAAACAGCCAACATGCTAACAGTGCCACAACACTGCTGTAACTTGGAGCTCTCACACCTCTGGAAAGCAGACTCTGAACCAGGACAGATGAACGTCTAGGTCATTGCTGTCTTTGGATTTTAGCCACTAAAACTGAAGCACTGGGTTTGCCCTGTTAGCCATGAATCTCTCTGGAAGACACCTTTATGACTCTCACTCTAAGTAAACGCAGCATACAGGTGAGAAATCAGAAGACGACCTCAGAGGTGTGACTGTAGCAGCACGGACCATGACAGGCCACTATGATGACCAGCAAACAAACCTGAGCCTCTACTGGAGCAGCTCCTGACTGCACATTCTATAGCCAGTACCTTCATCCACTGTCCCTGTCATCAACTGTATAAACAGCCATCCTGGCCGCAGCCCTCACTGGCTCACTGCTGTACATCGCTCCACACCAAAGGTCATGTCAACAGTCACATGGTTATTTACATGATAGTTATATTAATACTGCTCATATAAAGAGAGGGCTATAATATTCTGTTACTGAGAATGTATGTACCGGACAGGGAACAGCTCCAGATTAGCTGTCCTTTTTGATAGAACGTTGCTCAAAACAAATGGCTTTTCTTATTGACTTCTTTTTCTTTGCACTTGAGAACGGCAGTGAATGTGTACCAGAATGGACAGCCACTAACGCTCCTGTAATGCCTCCGCATGCGGACAGCCGCTAACCCTCCTGTAATGCCTCCGCATGCGGACAGCCGCTAACCCTCCTGTAATGCCTCCGCATGCGGACAGTCGCTGGCAAATTTCCAAATGGCCTGACACAATACAGGTCTTAAAACGGTCTTCCACTGTCTAGACTCCAACGCAGTGTACACTTCCCCACGCAGTCCTACTTGTAGTGCGCACTCCCTTATACCCTGACTAGGCTCCAACGCAGTGTACACTTCCCCAC